CAGTATCTTTTGATCACACCTTGTACACACAGTTCACATGCATGAACACAGCTCCACCCCTGCTGCCCTGTGTCCCTAAGTCCCATCCTGGGTATGAGACGCTACACCTCGGGAGCCCAGGGTCCCCACAGGCTCCTGGACACAGAGCTCAGTGAGGGCATCAGTACTGCTCGCCTCTCCTGGGAAGGTCACAGGGCCAATCTCCCCAGCCTCAGGCATGCTGGGAGGACAGGCCCCTGGGTCTCCCTTCCTAGCATCAATTCCCACAGGAGGCAGAGACAAGAAGCAGCACATTAATGAAGCTAGGTCAGCACCTCAAGCGGCCTCCTTGCTCAGGGATTCAGAGCCTGACCTTAACCCCCTGGCAGGCCCCTACCCTCGTGAGGACCCTGAATCTCCTCTGTCAGTCCACAGGTACGCAGGCTGAGGGGTCTTTGGGACCAGGGCCTGTGGGGTCAACATCTTCATGGGCTCTTCCTCCATTTTCCTCACCCTATCTTCCTCTCTCTTCTATCTCAAAAGCCAGGAAACTGCCTCTTCCTCCATTTGCCCCCTTCTCTCCTTTTGATCATACATGACACATTTGGGGAGAACCTACTCTGTGCCAGGCACTGGCCCCTGCCCTTCAACCTAAGAGCTACAGAGTTATCTCCTTCAGGAAACTGGGTCAGCCCACAAATCAGTGAACAAGACACTCAGGATAACGCAGGGGATAAGGGCACACATTCAAAGCTGGACTCCACCCCTATTTAGCCGTGTGGTCTTAGGCAAGTCCCTTCAATTCTCTGTACCTCACTTGCATTACATAGAAAATGCGGCGCTGTAGGGACTAAATGGCCTAATGCATGTAAAGTCCTAAGAGCAGTGTCTGTCATGTGTAAGTACCATGTAATTGCTAGTTATGATGGTACCATGATTGAGAATATACAGGGAAGGGGATGCAATGAAGTGGGACTCTCCAACAGGAGACATCTGGGGGAGGCATGCCTGCTCAGCAGAGGAACACAAGAGATTGCTTTCCAGCAGAAATCCCACGTTAGGCACCTCTGGTTGATAGATGGAGACCAAAGCTATGTTGACACAGAAGGAACACAATTTTTCACAAAAGAATTCTAATGGGCATATTTTAAATGTTCACTTGCCTTGGAATGTAGAATTGAATAGCTGAAGAGGGTGGGGTAAATCTCTAATCTGCTATAGGAGTAAATACTAGGCAGAAAGACAGATTTCAGAGAGCTGAAAAGAGAAGAACCCACACCGAAAAGAGTCCTGCAGAACCCCTGCAGAGGACATGCCTGCTCAAAAGCAAACAATGTAATATAAAGTTAATTATGGAAAGAACTCTTCACTCCATCCCTCCAATCTCACTTCAGAAGGAAGCCACACAAACCACAACACACACAAATATAAAGATCTATTCTTTCCCCAAATGGGTTCATTCTACATGCATTGTTCTGCAATGTGCTGTCATCACTAACCAAATATCAGAGACAGTAGTATGATGGTGATAACATAGCTTAGCAATGAACAGCTTCCTCTCTGCCTTCAGACTGCCTGAATTAAAACCCCAACTCGACCACTTCCACACTGTGGGATCTGGTAAGTTACTTAACTTTGCTAAATTCTGTTTCTTTATCTGTAAAATATGAATAATAACACTGTCTATCTATTAGGATTTGGAGGAAATAAAATGATAAAAGACATGCAAAGCACTTAGCTCAGTGTGACATATACTGAGTGCTAATAAATGATAGCCACCTTATTCCTTTAGAGGCTGCGTGGTATTGAGAAAGCACTGTAAATTGTTTAATAGTTCACCTATTTGTGGATCTTTACGTTGTTTCCTCTGTGGGTTGTTTTCTTCATTTTGATTTGTTTTGTTTGGTATAAGCAATGCTACAGTAAAAATGTGTGCATACCTCTTTCTGCTACACATGTATGACTATTTTTAAAGGACAGATTTCCATAAAAAAATTATTGGATAAAGAGATACAGATTTTTCAATTCTGATAGAGACAGCCAAAAAACCTATACCGATACCTTCTCATTACTAGTGTATGTGAGGGTTTTTTTCTTTTCAAATGTTGTCCAAAAAATGTATTGACAACCTGATGGATGAAAATTATATTTCAGCCTAATTTTGTTTTTTGATTACCAAGGAAGTTGAACATCTTTTCATATGTTTTCTTTGGTAAATGTGTTACAGATTTCTTGTTAGAGTTAATAGTTTATATTTCAGCATTACTTATTATGGTCCTCTTGGTATAATTTTCACATTTTCAGTACATAATTTTGTCACTTTTGCCTCTACGTTTTATTTGTTGCTTGAAATGGCATCCCCATCTAAGACCATTCAAATAAGCTCCTTCATTTATTTTGCTAAAACTTAGTTTATAGCCTGGTATTTTTACTTTTTTAAAATCAAATTTATGGTGTGGCATTGGTTAATAAAATAATGTATATTTCAAGTGTTGAATTTTATAATACTTCATTTATATATTGCATTGTGTGCTCATCACCCAAAGTTAAATATATGGTGATGGAAGGAATTTTTACTTTTAGGTTGTTCATCCATACGGGTTTTAGTTTTTTGTGTGAGTTAGCTATAAATCTAGCCTTATTTTTTCCAAAGATGCAGCCCATTGTCACAAATATCACTATTTAATAGCCCATCCTTACTACATAACTATGAAATAAATCTTTAGTATATATTAAGTTCCATATAGTTTAGGATCTACATAATGTATAAATACTGATATACAAAATTTATGTAGGTCTGTTTATTTGTTTTCCTCTGTGTGTACCAGACCTTATTGTTTTTCATTATTACATACTTTGATTTTGAGGTTAGAAGAGTTCTCTGTCATTATTCTAATTCTATTCAGATTTATTTTGTCTTTCCTTCGGCATTTACTCTTCGGGTGAATTTTAGAATGAATTCCAGTCATATAAAAAATTCCCTTGGAATGTTATTACACGTTCACTCAATTGTACAATTGGAGAAAATTTGACTTTTTCCAGATTTATTGAGAATTGACATAACATTACATATTTAAGGTGCACAACATGATGATTTGATACACTTATATACTGAATATGATTACCACAGCAGAGTTAGTTAAGACCTCCATCACCTTACATAAATGCCATTTCTTGAATGGGACGAGAACCTTTAGGATCTACTCTCTTAAATAAAACGGTGGTTACCAGTAGCTGGGGGGTACAGGAAACGAGATGTTTTGAGGCACAAACTTCTTCTAACTAGTAGATACATAAGTCCTGGATGGAGATCTACTGTACAGCATAATGATTACAGACAACGCTGTACTATAAACTTCAAAGTTGCTAAGAGACTAGATCACCACAAAAAAAGAAATAATTATGTTACATGATATATGTTTTAGCTAACACTACGCTCGGAGTCATATGATAATATATAAATGTATCAAATTAGCATGTTATATACCTTAAACTTAGTGTTATATATCAAGCATATCTCAATAAAAATAAAGATATATCCACTCTCTTGGCAAATTTTAAGTATATAATCCGTATTGTTAACTTTACTCACCATGCTCTACATTAGGTCTCCAGAATTTATTCATCTTATAACTGGAATATTGTACCTTTTGACCAACATCTCCCCATTTGACCTACCTCCCGGTCCCGGGCAACTACTATTCTACAATCTGTCTTTTTTAGGTTTAGCCATGAGAAAGTAGGAAATCCTGCCATTTCTAACAACAGGGATGGACTATGAGGGCATTATGCTGAGTGAAATAAGTCACATAGAAAAACACAACTACTGTATGATATCACTTACATGTATAATCTCTAAAATGACATTTTAAAATATTGAATCCTTAATTTTTAGGAGTAGAATATCTCCATTTGTTCAGATAATTATTTTTCTATTCTGTTATAGTTTCTTTAGATAGGTCTTTCACATTTCTTTTACTTTTCCCTTAGCTTTATTCCTAAGTATTTTTCAGAATTTCTTGCCATGATCATTGAAACTTTTTCTCTATTATATTTTTGTAATTCAAGAAAAGCATGAATATTTGTATATTTATCTTATATCAGGTCACTTTGGTGAAATCTTCATATGTTTAAAGTTTTCAGATGTGTATTTGCATTTTCCTAGATAGACAAGTCACTTAAAAGTAATGACAAGTTTATTCTAATTTTTATGCCTCCGATTTCTTTAATTTTGCCTTCCATTGGCTTTCTACTGTCTCAGCAAAGTAGCTCAATTATGCTGAGAGAGTCAATCCTGCCTTGCCGTTTTCAAAACAAAGATTTATATTCTGGAATTTTGAATGTTTAGAATGAGGACATCATAGTTTATTAGTTTAAAAAAAACTTCATCTATTTATATACTTAGTTAAAAAAAAAAAAAACCTCAGTAACATAGGCTATTTCTAGTAGCATTACCATTTTGAGTAATATCCCTGGCCAAAATTTATAATTTAAGTATATAGATTACATGAGCCAAAAATAAATACTGAAGCATACATTAAACAGGTTTTGCTCTGAAGACTTAAATACTCTCATCTGACTTCTGTTCAAGCCAAAGATGCTGATTAAATTTGATGCTCATTTTTATCCTCACCCCACAATTACCACTTCTGGAAGTATGAATAGGAAACCATCCTAGTGACAGACCTAATTCACCAAGACCCGCTCCATGAAAGCATCACAACTAAAGGGGGGAAGTGAGACCCAGCAACCTCTTTTCCTGGGACAAATAAAAAAAAAAGAGGCTAAGGAGTTGATAAGGAAACAACCTAAGAAGAAAATTCAAAAGAGATTTGGGAAAAACTTAGAAAAATTAGGCTACTGAGAAGGTCCTAAGAATACACGGGAATCCTTTAGTTTCTCATTTAGGAAGCACCTAGGAATTTTTAACTGTTCCCTTGCTGGATTTTACTACATGTTTCTCTGTGGTTTCTTGACACAAGTGTTCTTTAAAATCATGAGAAACAGTGGTGGACTTTTTTTCTAGGCTGGAGGTTAGGGAAGAAGCTGTCTTGAAAAAATTGCTCTGTTCATCGCTCCCGCTGCTTCTCCAAACCCGGTCCAGGAAGGCAAGAGACATGGACATAAAGAACTACAGCAGCAGCCACTCAGGCTTTCTCCTCCTGGGCCTCTCCTCCAACCCTCAGCTGCAGACACCCCTCTTTGTCATCTTCCTCATCATGTACCTGATCACTATGGTGGGAAATGTACTCATCATCCTGGCCATTCACTCCGACTCCAGGCTCCATACACCCATGTACTTTTTTCTCAGCAACCTATCCTTCACGGATATCTGCTTCACAACAGTCATTGTGCCAAACATGCTGGTGAATTTGCTGTCAGAGGTAAAATATATCTCCTATGCGGGCTGCCTGGTCCAGATGTACTTTTTCATGGCCTTGGGGAACACAGACAGCTACCTGCTGGCCTCTATGGCCATAGACCGGCTGGTTGCCATCTGTGACCCCTTCCATTACGATGTGGTAATGAACCCACGGCGCTGCCTCCTCATGTTGCTGGGTTCTTGCACCATCTCCCACCTGCACTCCATGCTCCGTGTGCTTCTCATGTCCCGCCTCTCTTTCTGTGCTTCCCATGTCATCAAGCACTTTTTTTGTGATACCCAGCCCGTGCTAAAGCTATCCTGCTCTGACACATCCTCCAGCCAGACTGTGATCATGACTGAGACACTGGCTGTCATTGTGACCCCCTTCCTGTGCATTCTCTTCTCCTACCTGCGAATCATTGTCACTGTGCTCAAAATCCCCTCTGTAGCTGGGAAGTGGAAGGCCTTCTCTACCTGTGGCTCCCACCTCACTGTAGTAATTTTGTTCTATGGCAGCATCATCTATGTCTACTTTAGGCCCCTGTCCATGTACTCAGTGGTGAAGGACCGGGTAGCCACACTTACGTACACAGTGGTGACACCCATGCTGAACCCTTTCATCTACAGCCTGAGGAACAAAGACATGCAGAGGGGTTTGAGGAAATTAAGGGACACAATTTGCTCATAGAAAGAACAACAACATGGGATGTCATTACTGGGAGGTGACCTAAGAGATGATGGGTTATTCTCCTTCGTAATTACCTTCACATGGCAGCCATAGAGGTCACGCCAGGTGGTGTTGAAGAGCAGTAAGAACACTGATCTAGAAGCAAGAACATTTGGTTTCTATCAGTCACCTTGACCACATATATGTTCCATCCCAGGTTGGGTCCCACTAGGAATCCAGATTTCAGGAAAACAATGTCTGCCACACATAGAGTGGAATAGAGCTAGCTCCAATAATTCTTCTAGAAGTTTGACATCAGCTAGTTCTCAAAGGATTCTCAAGCTTCATTGGTTTTTACAATAAGAAATTACATGAATTTGGTAGGGAATTGGCTGAGACTCCTTGAGGAATGACCTAAAACTGTCCTTAAGAATGGGTTGAAATTTGAAAAATGAAAGTTCATTAGATGAGGTCATAGGCAGAGCATTTCCAATAGTAGAAACTATCCAAGCAGGAAGAGGCAATAAAGAGTGGATTCTGTTTGAGGAACAGTAATAATCCCTGTGAGGTTTGTTCAATTTGAGAGCACAGAGAACACTGGAAAAAGAAGAATCTACAAGCAGAAGTACCCCCCACCAGCACAAAGTTCATCACAGTGTGAATACTCAGTCTCCACTCCTTTCCCTTCCTCTTAATTATTCCTTTCTTCACATAGCCAGAATGTGAAGAAACATATTTGAACATATTTTGTCTGTTTGAGTGAGTGACATAAACCAGGAAGGGTGTGAAACATGAAAGCGGAGGTGGGCCTAGGGAAGAGTGCTGAGTGTTTCTGACACTTAAGGGTCGGATGGAGAGGATATTAGCAAAGAGGACTGAAAAGGAGTAGTAATATCATCCAAGAATAGAAGTTTCCAGAGGCAGTGGATGTTCATCAGCATAAAAATATGGTGAGTTTAAGCAAAATAATCCTGGAAGATTGTCATTGGCTTTAGTGACATGGAGGCCATCGTTGACATTGGTAATGAAGCTACAAGGGAAGAATGGAAAAGGAGCCAAACTGGAGTGGGATAAGAAATAGGCTGTGAATCTTACACTAACAAGAAACAACCTGAAAAGGAAATTAGGAAAACAATCCCACCAGTAGCATCAAAAAGAATAAGTCACTTAGGAATAAACCTAACCATGGGGTGAAAGACTTACACATTGAAACCAAAAACATTTGATGAAATCAAGTAAAGGAGACCCAAATAAATGGAAAGACATCACCTGTTCATGGATCGGAAGACTAAATATGTTAAAATGCCAATACTACCTACCCAAAGTGGTCTACAGATTCAATACAATCCCTATCAGAATCCAAGTGGCATTTTTAACACAAGTAGATAAAAAAACCCTAAAATTCATATGGAACTACAAAGGACCTCATATAGCAAAAACAATCTTGATAATAAAGAACAAAGGTGGAGGCCTCACACTTCATGATTTTGAAATATATTACAAAGTTACCATAATCAAAACAGTATTGTACTGATAGAGAGGCCAAAGGAACCAAACAGAGAGCCCAGAAATAAACCCATATATACACAAACAGCTAAGGCATCGAAAATATACAACGAGGAAAAGATGTTTTCTTCAACAGATGGTGTTGGGAAAACTGGATATATCCACATGCAAAATAATAAAATTGGATGGACCCTTATCTTACACCACTCCCAAACTCAAAATCGACTAGAGACTAAAATGTAAGACCTGAAACTATAAAACTCTTAACAGAAAACTTAAAGAAAAGGCTTATTGACATTAGTCTTGGGAAAGATTTCTTGGCTATGACACCAAAAACACAGAAACAGAAAACAAAAGCAAATACAGACAAGCGAGAATACGAGGACTGACAATTAAGTTTGTGAACTCATCCTAGAAAAAGTGCTACATACCTCATTGCTGAATGTCACTACAGTCACCTTCAAAGTACTCCCCTTGGGAAGCTATGCACTGACACCAGGGCCTAGTCCACCCTTCAAAGCAATTTTGGAACTCTTTTTCTGGAATGGCCATCAGAGCTGTCATCCTATCACCCTGATGTTCTGGATGTCATCAAAATGTCTTCCTTTCGGGCCGGCCGAGTGGCGCGATGGTTAAGAACTGGCTTGGGATGCCAAAGGGCCCCGGTTCGGATCCCACATATGAGGGCCAGTGGCACTGCCCTCTACAGCTAAGATGCTGAACAACAGCTCAACCTGGAGCTGGGCTGCCATGAGTCGCCGACGACGGCGTAGGCTG